TCGTCAGCCAAAAACAAATAAACAAAGTGGGATATTATAACAGGCCTTCCCAGGCGAAGAGGTGACTTTGTTGTAATGTAACCGTGTGGAGTGAACCACTGCTTGCTGTGATGAATACGGAGTCAAACGGAAACTGCTGTATTGAGCGAACAACAAAGTGAGGAAGGAAGAGAGTTCCAGAGGAACGAGAGCTTAAATACAGGATGCCAGCAGCGCGCACGTGACACATACTACATGCTGCGCTACACGTGATCAACCCCTAGTTCCTCCAACTCCGTAACACTTATTATAATAAAAAAATATTTTACTATAAAGATTTAATTCTTATATACTCCGACGCTAACTAGTAATATTAACTGTAACGTTAGAGTAAAGAATCTAAATCTAAAACTTAAACTTAAAAAAGTCTTACACTAGTAATTATATTACTAATTAGCTAATTTACTTATGTTTTTCAATATAGAGAAGGGTTTACCGGGGGTAAATAGAAGGTTTTAATTACTACTAAGGTAATCACTACCTAAATATACTAAGTTTATCTTATTATTTACCTAAATATTATTCGAAGTCTTAATATTCCGTAGTTAATATATAGGGATTTACCTAAGTATATTAATCTTATAATCCCGTAGAATAACTTCCCCTTTAGAAGTAGTATAACCACTAAGGCTATTAGTACTAAGTAGTTTAATAAAAACTTTTTTTTACTGGCGCCTAAGCGCGGTAATAGAAAACCGAATAATTATATAATAAAAATAGATATTAATTATTAGACTTTAAATATTAATTAGATAATTATAGAATTAAATAAATTAATACTTAAATATTCTTTTTTTAATTTATTCTTTTATTAAGATAATAGACTTAGTAGAGTAGTATAGCTGACGTAGGTAGTAAAGTTAACCCTAATAACTAAGGATACTTATAGAACTATAGGTTAGCTTTTTAGTATTACCACCTTAAAAAATAATACTTATAAAAAGTAGATTTTAAGTATTAATTCTATTATTATAACTATATAGCTTATATTTAAAGTCTAATAATTAATATCTATTTTTATTAAGTTATTATAATAGTTATAGTTATTTAAGTATCCTAAGGTATTAGCTTAGCTATTATACTTAGTTATTATAGTTAACTTTTTAGGATTACTACGCTATAGTACTACCACCCTCCTACCTCTAAAAACAACACTTATAAAAAATAGATTTCAAGTGTTAATTCTATTATTATTACGACTAGATGGCTTATATTGGAAGTCTGATAATTAATATCTATTTTTGTTATATAGTTATTTGGTTTTCTATTACCGCGCTCAGGCGCTGGCCGATTTTTTTTTCTATTAGACCACTTGGCGCTAATAGCCTCAGTAACAACTCGGGAAAGTTCCACCATGGAATCACTCCACTCCAGACTCTCCCCGCATTCCATGCAGATATCGTCAAAATTCCCAACTTCATAGCTTCAGTCTCTGCAATCCGCAGAAGAATCGAAATGTTACAAACCCTCCGTCTCGCAGTCTCCCAATCCCACACCCTCCCCACCACCCCTCTCACCCTCCTCGCCCTCGAGCAAACTACCAGAAAAGCCGCCGCCCAATCCATAGACCTCATCCTCTTCCCCGAGGCCTACCTAGGAGGATATCCACGAACGGCCACCTTCGGGGCAGCAGTCGGTGCACGCAGACCGGAGGGGAGGGAGCAATTCCTACATTATTTCAAGGATGCGGTGGATCTGGGGGATACACCCGAGGGCGCGGGAAGTGCATGGGTAGAGAGGAAGCTGCCGACGAAGGAGGGAGAGGTGAGGGGAGACGGGACGAGAGAGGAATTGGAGAGGATTGCGAGGGAGACGGGGGTATTTGTCATAACTGGGTTGGTGGAGAGGTGTGCGGGGACGTTGTATTGTGGGGTTGTGTATGTTTGTCCCAGACTGGGGGTTGTTGGGAAGAGGAGAAAGGTTATGCCGGTATGTATTTTGTTGTTTGATCTCGCGGCATGTTGGGTTGGATTTCTACGAGTTTACAAAGATATCGGGTGATGGGGGTTGGGATGATTGGAAATTGAGTTTCTGATTCTCCTGCACCTCGTTGGATCATACTTTCAATTACCTCGGAATTTCTAATGGAATCCCAGGCAGCGAAATATCTGGTGATCTTATGCTAACTTCAACCCAGACAGGTACGGAAAGATTGATATGGGGCCAAGGCCAACCATCTTCTCTTCGAGCGATTACAACTACCATCAAAGGCGTTAAGTTGACTCTGGCTGCTGCCATATGCTGGGAGAATTACATGCCATTGTTGCGTCAATCGTTATATTCTCAGAACGTCAATCTATACTTAGCTCCGACGGCAGATGGAAGAGATACCTGGCTACCACTTATGCAAACTGTAGCTGTGGAAGGACGTTGTGTGGTATTGAGCGCAAACCAATGCATGGCGAAATCTAAGATTCCGGATTGGATTACTTCCAACGAACCACAAGCTCATGTCGAGCATACAAATGGCAAGGAGGGTACACATGAAGGTTCCAGTTCCCCACGTCTAGGAAGGAAATCAACAATCACAGATGATGGCCACGAAAGTGTGATTCCAGAGGCAGAGGAGCGACCACCCGCAGCAAGACTGAGAAGGAAATCGACCATCACAGAAGATGGTCATGAAATCGTATTGCCAGAAATAGAGGAGAGACCACCGATGGCAAAATTAAGAAGAAAATCAACCATCACGGAAGATGGCCATGAAATCGTTTTTCCCCTTACAACATTTCACAAGGAACCAGAAAAGACAACAGAGGTACAACCAAAGTTGACTGAAGCAGAATATCTATCGAGGGGTGGTTCTTGCATAATATCGCCACTAGGGGACGTATTGCGAGGTCCCCTTTGGGACGATGAACATGGGTTGCTTGCTGTCGATGTGGACTTTGATGATTGTCTTCGAGGAAGACTCGATCTTGATGTTGGAGGAAGTTATTCTAGGTACAGTATCTTTTTTGCCCAATCTGTTTTTGTGGTGGGCTACAACTGACTGCTTTCTCTAGAAACGATTCTTTCAAACTGACCGTGGAAGGGTTAGATCTTAGTCCGCCTCCATGAATTTTTTATTGAATTCAATTATTTCGAGAAATTTTCATCCCATCACACTAGGCAGGTACATGCCACAAACGTGGTAGGTAAGGAAACCCACCCCTTGCAGTATCTCCTGAGGCGTAGTGAAGGAGCGGTTGGTAACACGCGATGAACTGGAAAATTCCTCCAATCACTACAAATAGCTCACACTGCAACCACATAGATTAAATTCTGCTCTTTGCGAGGTGATGTTACAACGTTGGAACAACCTTGCACTAACGTATCTTGCTTTCGTTTTACGTTGCAGTCAGACCCTCTCCACCCCATTGATTGGCCCTCAGTCCCCGCTAATCATCAATGAAACGATAGCATTGCAGCACTGAGCACACACATCACCATGATCCTGGAACCACCCCGAGTTGCGCAGCTACCTGAAATCAGGTTTGGGCCATGGCAGGTACAGTTGCATGTTTGACGACAACCACTTTTTTCAGTTTTTCAATTTATGTATCCTTTTTGAAAAATTCCATTCACGATGCGCCCTGCTGTTGCCATCGCCATCATTCTTCTCGCTTTTGTTACTATCGCATATAAATTCTACGGGATTCGTTATGTCGACACCACGACCGCTATACCTGAGGAACTCTACCCCTCCGAACATGCCTCACTCTCCAAGACACCTCCTCACAAAGGGAGTGAGGATAGCAAACATGATTCCCAACCTTCTCATCCTTCAGTATCTCCCCCGAAAGGGAATCCCTCAGCTACAGGGAAAGATTGGGACCCCAGTGAGACGTACCATGAAGTGTTTTCCGTGTCTACTAAAGACAAGAAGTTCTTTTATCTCCAATTCGGGGATCAGAGGGGAATCAATCCCAATATCATCCCACATCCTACAGAAAACGACACTTGGATCATGGTCTCGCAGTGGCATAATGACCGCATCCGGGATGGGGCTTACTCCTTTTTCTTCTCCCAGATAGCCTGCAATGCTGTGTTCGAAGATGGAAAGTTGGTATGCAATAGTGTTGTAACCAACTTGCCCATCGCGGCCACGACTGGACCACATGAACTCTGTGCAGATCCGGACAAAGTCCCTGCATATTTTGGCTTGAGCCTTGGATCTCACGATGCGAGGTTATTTTACGGTCCTGAAACACCGTATGTTTTGTACGGCTCAATCTCAATGTATACATGCTTTTCGCAATGGATGCTGGATTTTAGGATCTTGGTGGATTGGCCCTGGAATATGGCGGAGCTTAAGGAAGCCTATTCGAACCCATGGCCTTTTCGAGAAGCGACGGAGATTGAGAGACCACCGCCCTTTGGCATCATCGAGAAGAACTGGTTCGTCTTTTGGGATTCCAAGGATGAGATGTATATGCACATGGACATCGCACCCAAACGAAGCTTTGCCAAGTTCGACATGGATGGGAAGATGGGGAAGAATCTAGAACCCATGGCCTTCTCGACGGATGAGAGGTGTATCGACGAACTCATGCCAAAAGCCCCCCGCGCCGAAGAGCATCTAGAGGACATCCACCAAGCCACCAACTCCCTCAAAATCACCCTCTGCGTCCGCGCCGACCCGGACTGCAAACCCGACGACACCAATACATTCATCATGGCCATCTTCCACCACAAGACCTTTTTCGACTGGCACGGCGTCTACGACCCGTTCGTCCTCCTCTTTCAACAATCACCCCCCTTCGCCATCCACGGCGTCTCGCAGAAACCCATCTGGTTCCATGGCAGAGGCGGGCCGGGCGAGGGGAGAAAACCGGATTTTAGACCGGATGATATGCCGTGGAATCAGACGCAGATGCTGTTCACGACCAGTATCTCGTGGAAACAGCAGGGGTTGACGTATCATGGGTATCTGGATGATGTGATGTTTGTGGGTTTTGGGGTGGAGGATCGGGATACCGCTGCGATTGATGTTATGGCGGGGGATCTGTTGGGGGGGATGGCGCTTTGTGGGAGTTTGATTGATTGAGTTGTTGATTGATTGAGTTGTTGATTGATTGAGNCGATTGATGTTATGGCGGGGGATCTGTTGGGGGGGATGGCGCTTTGTGGGAGTTTGATTGATTGAGTTGTTGATTGATTGAGTTGTTGATTGATTGAGTTGTTGATTGATTGAGGTGTTGGGGTGGGGAAGAGGGGGCAGGGGGTGTTTATGTATTTATGTATGTATGTATAGATTCTGATTGGTTTGGGGAATATAAGAGGAAAAGTGTCATTTCTAAGGCTGATCCCTGTTAATGTGTTGTTTTTCTTTGTAGTGTAGTATACAAGTACATTGAAAACACCGCATCTAGTCTGTAACACCTAAGTCTCCTTGCTTTTTAGATTCACATCGTCTCCTTGCCTGGTGAATTCTTGGTAGCGGCCACCTTTCTTGGTGCTGTGCTACTGATAAGATTGCGCTAAACTAAACATATGATAACCGTCCAAGTTGCTCTTTGCCAGCGGAGCTCTCGAACCTCAGCCTCCCGCTGTGATTGGTCGATCCTTGGAGCTTTTTTGAAGGTCAATTTGGGGAAAGGAGCTATCTACGAGTATAATTTAGTTGAGACTCTGTTATTGGCGTGTCGTGTGTTGGACCCGAAACCTGGGGTCGTGGAAGTCTTGATTGATGGATGACTCGTGAGAAGCTCGAGGCGAGAAGCAATCGTCTGGAATACAGTGTATAGGTATTGAGGTGATGACGTCTGCAAGTACAGGCCGATTGCTATCTCGTTGATTGAAGTGATTCTCGGAATGGTCTGGGAATGTTGGGACTTTCAATCGTTTTTTCTTTGAGGGGAGGGGGCTGTGATGGATTGGGTGGCTTAAGCTTCGAAAAGATCGAGCCTTTTGGTATTCGTGTCGTTCCACGGGTTGCGCCACTAGACTCATTATCTGCAGGAATGTGCATCATCCGGCAAGCCACAGCGGGATGACGAGTAGATAGCACTTGCCCTCGTTCTATTGTCTTGGAAGCCCTTGACCTTGGGATTTCTAGACCCCGGCCTTGGGGTTGATAGAGGTTGCTCTTGCCCCATGTTTTGGTAATTGTTCGTTCGGATTTTGCTACCTGAAGTTTGTCTTGAAATTTTTGGCAAACAGTTCCTAGGATTGACTTTTGTTTTTCTCTCGCTAAATACAGAATCGGTGGATGGGAATGTATTGAGTCTTCTGCGGAGCAATAATGGTAAGTCTGATTTGGACTGGCTGAGATGATGCGTGTGGTTATTCTAGCAACGGCAGCACTGACGGATTCTTGCCACAGTCTACATCCCAGACCGCTGGCTCTGGCACGGCTACTAATGCCTCGAATTCAGTTTCCGGATTTCTGTCAACATTGATTCCGGTTGGTATTACTGCGGGGGTGTTCGTCACTCTTTTCTTTCTGTTCAGGAATCGGTTCCAGCGAGTTTATCGACCACGAACCTTTCTCGAAACGCTTCATGATCAGTATGTACTACGAGTTCTCTACAGCAAAAGGTCCTGATGAAAAAATAGTGAGAAATCCACGCAGTTGCCTCGAGGGAGATTCGGCTGGCTGAAGAGTTTCCGAGATATCCCAGACGAATATGTTCTCAATCATCAATCACTTGATGGGTATCTCTACCTGAGATTCCTCAAGATGCTCGCCTTTATATGCTTTGTTGGCGCATGTCTTACGTTTCCGATCTTGTTTCCTGTCAATGCCACGGGCGGTGGTGGGCAGACCCAGTTCGATGCCATTTCGTTCTCGAATATTAATGAGGCGGGGAAGAATCGGTATTATGCGCATGTCTTTCTGGGATGGATTTTCTTCTCGGTAAATTCCTTTCGATTTTGCGCTTTGGTGAGTGACGATTCTAACAGGAGTAGTTTGTGATGTACGTGGTTACGAGAGAGACAGTCTACTTCATCAACCTTCGACGCGCATACCTCCTTGCCCCTTTCAATGCGGCCAGGATGTCTTCCCGAACGGTTCTTTTCACCGATGTCCCGGACGAATACATGAGCAAAGACAAGCTGCAAGAACTATTCGGAACTTCTTTACATCGAATTTGGCTTTCTACTGACTGTAAAGATCTCGAGGATCTGGTTGAGGAGCAAGATAAAGTTGCGTTGAAATTGGAAAACGCTGAGATAAAGCTATGCAAGGCTGCGAACAAGAGGCGGCTGAAATGGGAGAAGAAAGGCGACAAACGAAAAGATGGACCTGCAGATGATGCTGAACTTGCTTCTCCTGGTTCAAGATATCAGAAACAAAAGGATCGTCCTACGCACCGACTGGGGAAAATCCCATGTATGGGACATAAGGTTGATACAATCGACTGGGCACGATCAGAGTTGCGAAGGATTCTTCCAGAGGTCGAGAAAGAACAGAATGCTCATCAACTAGCTAACGCCAAACTTGTACCAGCAGTCTTTATCGAATTTGATAGTCAACAAGCTGCTGAGACTGCTCTCAGACGAATGACACCCAGGAAATCTCCACACATGAATCCAAGGGCGATTTCGGCTACACCTAGTGATATTGTTTGGAAGAATCTGCGGATCAATAAGAAGGAACGTGCTACGAGAAAGCTTGCCACTACTGCTTTCCTTACCGCTATGATTCTTTTCTGGTCTTTCCCAGTTGCGGTTGTTGGTGCTATTTCTAATATCAACTACTTGGTTGATAGAGTTCCTTTTTTGTCATTCATAGAGAAAATCCCCCGCGTCGTTTTAGGTGTAGTCACAGGCCTTCTTCCGTCTTTGATGCTCAGTATTTTGATGGCCCTGGTACCGATTGTTTGCAGATGTAAGAATTAAGTGCTCCATTGCCCTTCTTTTACTAACCGTTTTTCTTAGTCATGGCGAAGCTGAGTGGAGAGGTGACGCTTGCAGCAGTGGAACTGAAGACTCAAACTTGGTATATGGCGTTCCAAGTTGTTCAAGTCTTCTTGATTACCACCTTTTCTTCCGGAGCAGCATCAGTTGCTACCCAGATTATCAATCAACCAGGCAGCGCGACTACATTGTTGGCAGAAAACTTGCCAAAGGCATCCAATTTCTTCATTTCCTACATTATTGTCCAAGGTCTCGGATTTGCAGGAGCCAATTTGCTCAACATCGTGGCCTTGGGAATGTTTGTTGTGGTGGGACGATTTGTTGACTCAACTCCACGAAAGATGTTCAACCGTTATATCAAACTTTCGGGTCTTGGGTGGGGTTCATTATATCCCAAGTTTGGAAACATGGGTATCATCGCCATTACGTATTCAATTATTGCCCCCCTCGTTCTTGGTTTCGCTGCTATTGGGTTCTTAGTCATCTACTTCGCAGTACGGTACAATAGTCTGTTCGTTCTCACGAATGATATCGATACCAAAGGACGTGCGTATGCAAAGGCGATGCAACAATTGATGGTAGGTGTCTACCTTGCTGAAGTTTGTCTTATTGGACTTTTTGCCATCAACACCGCTCCTGGACCCATCGTGCTGATGGTAGTGTTCCTTGTCGCAACAATAATGTACCACATTACGATGCACACAGCTTTCAACCCGTTGATTGAATACCTTCCTGAAAGAACCTCTGGCACCGATCAGAGAGACCTCTTCATGACCAAAGACAACAAATCCTACGACGCCACAACCTCTTGCTCCCCACCTACCGGCCCACCAGAAACCCCCCCAAAACCCAACACATTCACCGCAAAGAAAGCCGCCCTCTTCAACAAATACTTCGACCCGAAACGCTTCAAATCCCACACGACCGTTCAAAAACTGGTGCCCGACTGGGCGCCGCCCTCTTACGAGCAAGAAGAAAAGGAACTAGCGTATTTCAACCCCGCGGTTACGAGTCCGCCCCCGGTTCTGTGGATTGCACGTGATGAGATGGGGATTAGTGAGAGGGAGGTCAGGGAGACGAGGGATGTGGTGCATTGTACGGATGAGTTTGCGGGGTTTGATGAGAAGGGAAAGGTGGTTTGGGATGGGCTTGGGGGGAGTAGGGGGATGGGTGGGGAGAGGGAG